TATATATATATGTATATAAGAATTAGAAAAATATAGAAGTCTTCTTTCTTTTTAATGAACACTTAGGACTATATATATAATATATAATATATAATATACAATATTAAATGAGACTACTCATGGGAAAATCATTGATGGAGAAAGGGAATGGTGCAATTTTTAAAATCGAAATAGGAATTGATTAATTGAGTACCGACTTGTCAGTGAGGAAAAAGTTCGATATCTTTGCTATAAATGAACATCAATTTTTTCATATTAATTTCAATGATCTTGAAAAATATTGTTAAAAAATCATTTTGAATAAATTTTTGTGACAATCTTCAAGTTTACCAAAAACTTTTGGTATTTTGTCTATATATATATATATGCCTATATAATATACTTACTATACGTTAGTAATACATATTTACTATTTACCAAATATTTATCTATATATGATATAATAGATATATAGATAATATAGTTAGATATTTATAAATTTGGACATTCTATAGATATTTTGGATCTGTAGAATAAATAAAGAAAAAATATAAAACAATTTTTAGATGATTGAAATTCGACGACTGCAATTCGTTAATTTGATTTGATATGATATCAACTTCATCGAATATACATCATAATTGTTTGTAACTTGAAAATACTATTTATATCCTATACTATTATTATTCTGAATTATTTGAAACAGAAAGAATACAAAAGAAAAAAAAAAATCCCGTTCAAATCTATAAAAAAAATAGATTTTTTTACAAGTTTACTTGTTTTGCATATTGATTAACTAGCCAATCTATTTATTATATATTACATAAAAAATTGATGAATAACCATCGTATTGATGAATTGATGAATAACCATATTGATACATATATTATCACAGATGCATACATATAGGTAGAATAATATTAAATATATAATGTAATATCAAAAATTTAACTTGAAAACTAAAGTCGATTGCTATTATGTATAAAGGAAAAAATGGTCGAAAAATCGTTATAATATATTTCAAGCTCATTGAAATCGGTGAAGAGAATTAATCCGCAGATTGACATTATTGAAGTATTATTTATATAAATAAGATTCCATTTGAAATTCATATTAGCGATTTCAATATTTAAAAAAAGAAAAATGCAACTATAATATGCAACTGTGATTTAAAGATTGAAAAGTTAAATTCTATAATTAAAGAAACCTTTGATTTTAAGAACTTTCTTTGATCGATCTTTTAAAATATTAAAATTATTTTGAAATTATATTTTTATTTTTCAAATAATTCAGAATAATAATAAGCTATAAATAAGATAGGATATAAATAGTATCTTCAAATTACAAACAATTATAATTCTTTTTAATATTTTAAAATTATAAATGAAAATATATGAAGAAGATATTTTGAAATTTCTAATGTCTAGCTGAGATGCAATCCATAGATTCCTTCATCTATAAATCAAAAATCTATAAATAATAAATTTTTTTAGAATCTTGTAAATATTGTTTGTTAGTAAATTCCACATTTGATTATTTTGCGACTAATTACAATGTTTTGTAACGGCGTTATTGAAAACATTTTTTTCCGCGTTTGTTGAGTGGGTAGGTGATATCGAGTATAATAAGGATGAACTCGCGACCGTGGGTAAGACGGAGATGACCACTAAATCCGTGCCTCGTCCTGAAAACGAAGACGAGGAGGACGAGGAAGAAGAGGAAGAAGAGGAGGAGGAAGAAGAAGAAATCGACAAAGAGATTTGTTCGAGTTTACGGTATCACTGCCACTGATATCCTCTCTCTCATCGCATCGATGCCGATTCCTGCGTCCATTAATAGAGGTAAATTTTTCTAGCAATTGCCATCTTTTAATTGCAATAATTCAAATTATCGTGTAAAATATATAATTATATATAACTATAATACATTGCTGTTAACTTATCAATTGAGATATAACGGTAAAGAATAGGTATTTGATTTTGATCTATATGTTAAACTTTTCGATAAATATATTTAGTAAAATATATAAATATATTTTATTTTTTATTTTTATATTTATTTTTATGAATCTTCAAGTCAACCAATTAATCTCGCATTCTTTCAAATTGTCAACTTATTAACACGTGATACATATTATAATATATATAGTTATATAATATTATATAATATACATAGTTTTAATAAGAAATATACACTCGTCCATAAGTATGTAGACAATTGTCAATTTTGATAAACGATTGATATAATGTAAATTCGATCTATTTTATCATTTGAAATTCAGAGTAATAATAAGCATTTTATGAAAATTTTAAAGGCACTATTTTGAACAATCTTGTTTTTTTCAATTAGTTGTATTGCTCTTTCATGAATTTTGATAAGCTTGAAATATTATAAAGAATATTTTAAATAACTTTTTCCTCTATTTTTACTATATTAACATATACAATAGTATATGATTTCTTTTTATGCTATATATAGATTTTTGTTGTTTATAAGATATTAATAGAGTTATATTATTATATTATTAATAGAGATAATTGATCAAAACAAATATAATTTGATATACAAGTTGATATACAAAAATATATCAGTTATAATTTATTTATATTTGTATAAATAATGTAAAAAAAATATGTATGCAAAGACAATCAAATATTGATGCATATGTTGCCACAGTAGCATAATTCAAAGTAAAATTGACATAATGATATCAAAATTTTGTAATTGTATACTAATATTAGGAAATTGTTGATTTCGATGATTTTTCAATATAATATAGGAATTTTTTAACATTTTTTTTCTCTACAACAGTCCTAGTTTTCGAAAAATTATTTTATTTTTTGTAGTTTTGCAAAAAAATTATAGTTATATATTGAATTTTATTTATATATGTATTCGTTATAGTGTGTGCGATCGGAATATATTGTAGTGGCCGGCACCTAAAATATATAAAAATATATAAAAATATATATAAAAAAATTAATTAAAAAATTATTTTGTCATGAATTTTGATGAACTTGAAATATCTTAATTTCAAATCATAACGGATTAAATATTTCGCTAATCTTTATTTAGAAATAATCCTTGAATAATCAAAATATGATAAATATTAACATCATACTTAGTGTCTATGTTTATAATTTCAATCATTGTAATTCGATTGCCCAAAAATTGTTGATTAATCCAAAGATCCAATGTCTCAAAATACAGTTGTCTTGCTATGGATTGATATAGAAATATTTTAAGTCTATTAAAATTCATAAAGAAGTAGCTTTTTGATTGGTTCATCCATTATATATTTTGGACATCAATCATTGCAATGTAGCAATAGTAGATAAATCGGCAATCATATGTATGCATACATATAACTGAATTTCTATGCAATAGAATAATAGTAATATTTTTTTTTGCAAATATTTTGAAAACTTTAAGAATTCGGTGATTATATAAAAAAAAATTACTGAAATAATGTCCTTGACAAATATATTAAAATTAATTAAACATATATTAAAATTAAGACGATCAGAGTTTTTTCGTTATATAATGTATAATTAATTGAAATATATTTTTTAATGTAATATAAAATAAATATATAAAATTTAGCAGAATTCATTTTTTGATGAAGTGATTTTTAATTCTTTTCAGATAAATATTACAATTAAGAAGATATCAATATTTATGGACGGGAGTGTACATGGAACATTTAAAAGTTGCATTAAATTGAAAAAATATCATGCGAGATTCATTAAATTTAATTAAAAATGTTTGATATGTTATGGGATTAAAATTTTTTTTAACTTTTTTTTTTTCTTTTTTTTTTTTTTTTTTTTTTTTTAGTAAAGAATAAAATTGATATAGTCTTCTATTTAAAACAATATTTTTATCATTTTTTTTTTCATTTTATTATTTCTTACTTTTTTAAACTTGCACTGCTTTGTATTCTTTAAATGTATATGCGTAAATGTACATGCACATATACATCTTTTTTAAATGTAAATAATTATAGTTATATGCACACATTTAGAATTAGAAAGCCTAAATTATGCTGTTTTGGAGTTCTATATTATAGAAACATATATATTTTAAATCATTATTAATAATTTGTAGTATTAATGATATTATCTTATTTGAAGTGATGTTATAAAATACAAAAAAATATAAAAAAATAATTATTTAATAAATTTTGAAACAAATTTTCAATTAGATAACAATTTAAATTAATAATTCTTATTGAAGAATTATTCATAATTTATATAAAAAGTTATAATGATATTTTATGTTAACGATTAAATTAAATTATTTATCAAATACTCTTATAGCATGTTATATATATTTACATATTGATATTTATATTAAAAAGAAAAAAAGAACAATAATTATGAAAATAATGTAGGAAATAACTGTTAATAGCATAAAATTTTACGTATAGATAGAGGAATCTTTTTATATAATAAAAAAAGCTAGATGAATCTTGACTTAATCGAATTGTTTATGAGATCTTGATATTTGCCAGACCACCAAAGAAATTTCGGAAATGAACTGTGGAATATATTGTATATATTCTTGTTACGAAACTTTTGCAGTCAGCATTTCTTTGCGCTGCTTTCATCACAAAAATTATTTTTCTCAAAGAAATTTGTTTAATTTTCTTTTTCAGCTTGTTTTTCTTTTTGATAATAGTTCTTTTTTTTTTTTTTGATAATTAATTTTAAAGAACAACAAAAATTGAGCGAAAATGATTAGATATATTTTAAAACGAAGAAATAAAATTCCTTTAATCTTATTATAGTATCGAAAAAAATCATTATAATGATAAACAACATAAAAATTATCATAAAAATATGAAATTGAATTCTATCAAAACAAATCTATTTAAAATATATAATAATGAAATCTTTATATAATTAATATTAATTAATTAATTGATTTAATGAAATATCGAGTTCATCATTATATCACACATATACTCAGTTAAGTTTTTGGCATTTTTATTTGAAGAAAAGCACGATTAAAATAATAGATCGAAGAATAAAATGTTTAGTTAATCAAACTTCTACGGCTACATCGAGATGAATCTGAGCTGAAGGCCACAGTCTAAATTCGTCTCGTTGAATCTCGGCTCTTATTCCTCTCATGGATTCTACATATGATCTTGAATCATTGATATTACAAAGCATTGTTTATCTAAGGCATATTTTCTTCTATGACCTTCCTAAACAATTTTAAACAATTTTTTCAAGTTTAAATATATCATATTTTCGAATTGATCAGTCGAAAAAATTGTTTCAATTATAATAATTATTAAAATGAATATAATTATTAATTAAAAATGAAATTGAAATTTTCGAAATGAAATTTTGCAACGATTTTTCTTTAATATATTTTAAAAAAATAATGAATAATTAATTATGATTTATAATTTTCATGAAGGAAATAAATTATATTTTTCGAACAACTTACTTGGAGTATTTACTTTTATTTAATGTGAAAATAAAATTTCTTAATGTCGAAATATTCTGATAAAGATTAAAATAAAAAAAAAAATAAAACAGCAATAGTATAAATAATCTTACTTTTATGTTATTTTTCTTCTTTTTTTTTAGAATAAATTTAAGATTAAATGACTTGACTAAAACATGTTACGATGGATTTAAATTTCTAGCATTATACAAACAATTAATTTATTTATCAAATTCATTTTTCTATGCTTTAGTTTACATATATTTTAATATTTATAAATTATTTTATTTTCAAAAAATTTTTTAGAACTCACTAGAAAAATTTGGAATCAAAATAATAATTTTTTTTACATAAATGGTTTAGTTATAATATTATATATGGCGATCTTAATATGAACCTTGAGCTACTTTTAAGGCAGCAGTAGGCTCAATTTTGCTATCCCTCTCGACTCCCCCTATCCTATCTATTTATCTTGGTAAAAAAAAAAAAATGCAGGAAGTTTTTCTATAAAAGGAGTCTTCATAGGTCGACCTATATTAAGCTTGACCTTTTTACTAGATTTTTTTTTTTCATTCTAATTTTTCCAATCCATTGAATAGTGATTCATGATTGTAAATTATGATTTAATTAATACGCATTTCTGTTTGAAATATTATTGAAATTATATATTTTAAAATCACGTAGTTGAGATCTTATTGTTTTAGCAATAATTACATTGCTAATATTGTTAATATCTTATTATTCTCGTTCATGATACGATTAATTAATTAGTTTTCGAAGGATATTGAATTTTTAGAATTAAAAATATATATTGGACTTTAATTTAATTTTGAAAATTTAATTCGAGATAATGAAAAAGTAATAAAATAGTTATAATGCGAAAAATGTAAATTTTGTTGATTGTTAAATGATATTAATTAAAATCTATAACTGAAATATCTGATTGAATCGATAAATTAAATTTAATTCAAAGACAAATACAGCTGATTACAGCTGATTATTTTAACGACCCTGGTACACAATGGCCCTTGTAACAAGCATATGGATACGTTTTTTAATAGGTCAAGTGTGAACTACTAATTACACTGAATTCTCCACGAGACTCTATCTCTTTGCTAGATACTCTTTGCTACTATGTATTACAAAATCTTTTTCCTTTATCTTGTCGGTAAAATAATTACTTACAAAAAAGAGAGATATTAAAGCAATTTAAATTTTATTTATAAGAAAGAAAAAAAATATGATACTCTAGAATAGTAAAAATTAAGTTCATGTCAATAATGTATCGATAATTTCATGAGCATAATTTGTTTAATTGTATTGCATTTGATATGAATCTCTTTTAATTATTTCATTTCAAACTTAAATCAAGATACGATAT